ATGGCCTCCAACCTACTATAGCGATGGCCTCCAACCTACTAGCGATGGCCTCCGACCTCCTAGCGATGGCCTCCAACCTAGTCCCAAGTGTCTTGTACATGTCCGTTTTGCCGAATCTCGTTCTTCCCTCCCCATCGGCGCACCATAAGCATCCGCAAGAACTTGGCCTTTGTCCTCAGGGTGGCAAGGAATGGGCTTTGCCGGTCTTGGCGTCTTGGGTTGGGCACATGTGAGTCTGCCCAAGCATATTGTTTGGCAGCTGGGGCCGACTCAAGGCCGGCGCAGCAACGGAGCAAGATTTCTGCGCGAAGACCAAAGGAAAAAATGCAGATGGAATGAGGCATGAACAAAAGGAGACCAAGAAGTGGAAAGAAAGTTAAATAAGTGAGTGAGTATTGTGAAAAAGGAGTAGAACGCAATGCGCACAAAGAAGAGGTATTTAAAGCTTTTGAAGTACAAGAAAAGGCAGAGCGGTCGATCAAGAAGAGTGCAGATAACCATGCACAGACGGAAGAAAGCGAGTTCTCATGCACAAGCGCTGTGTCTGTTTCCTGGAAGCTTGTGTTTGCCTGGCTGACGCAAGGCACACTTGGGTGAAGTGGTGAACTTCTTGAGCGGTTGTCTTATGGCCGATCCAAAAAAAAGGTACACACATGTCATGTACATATGGGTGGCTACCTTTATTCATACAAATCACCATTTCAGGATGTCGTGTCTGGCAAGGATTCAATGTAGTCTGGCGGCCATTCTTGGTTGCAGGGAATCTCGCTGAAACGTGCCTTATCACACATGACACAAAAAAGCATCTTATACATAAAAGAGGATCTCGGTCTCTTGGGTGGACCCATCTCATTCTGCAAGGAACTCTGTTGCCAAGAACAGAGCACTTGCAAGCTCCTTCAACTAGGTCTGCGGTAAATCCAATGGTTCTCAATGGTTCTTTGAAAGGTTTCTCTCCAGCTTGTCATTTGCCTTTCACCTTCAAAAGCTGGGAGCCACCCGGATGGTCCTTCATGAATTTCTGCAGTTGCACATCTAAATACACAGGTACCCACACAGGTCATCACGACGGTCATGGCACCGGAACGCCCCCGGTTTTTCCCAGCAAAAAATGAAAAAAGAAAACGGTGGGTCGACTGACTGCAGGTCTTGACCTGGCAGACAAGTAGCCCTTGCAATGCTCTTGCATCAGGTAGCTGGTAGCTGATCAGCTGACCTACCCACAGGGCCCGGCCTCGATCTCGGCATAGCGATAATCGCAAACCTCTGTGCCGCGGGTGTCGTTTCGCCTTTCGGTGGTCGAAACCAAACCGGTCGAAGGTCGCAGCAAAGGAGCCCCGTTGGGAAACGTCCTTGCTTCGTTCGTAGCGTCCAGGAGGTTTGAGTGGGGGAGAGTCACTGCGGCACTGAGTGTGAAAACACGACCTCGTGAGGCACTGCTTTGCTGCAGAGCCGATTTCGGCTCTGAGGCACAGGCCCGCCGCTCGAAACGCTTTCTGGCAGTCTTGGTCGCTTCCAAGGCTTCCTGGAAGCAGATCGTTCACGAAGGTGTACAGTGTCAACTAGGCAAAGCAGGTTTGCTATCGTTGGAGTCGTAAAAAAAACGGCAAAGAACACTGAAATGTTGCCCGGCAACATGTTTTTTGCGAGCAGAACATGTACAGTATATATGATTTGCAGAGTGAGGTATCCCGAGGAAGATTAATATATCCTATGTCAAGTTGTGCTGGGCCCAACAGCATCCGAGTTGCATTGACACTGTATCAAGTAGTGTGACTGAAACTTATATCATGTAGTGTGACTTAGGCATTCAAGTATATCCAAGCATATCCAAGCTCCCAGTGCTCCTTCAAAGATTGGTCGATGGACTTTGCAAAGCTTTTGAGCTGAGCGTGTTCAAGAAGGCTTTCACACTCCTCGTACTCTGAGCGCGCCGACGACTCCGTCTCTGCGATCTCTAACTCTGGGGGGGTAGGACAATCGAATCCAGTTCTGAGTGGGATGGATCTTCGAACAGTCGGCTGGCTGCTTTGGCTTGCTGTTGGAAGTTCCTGCGATGCGGACAGTACCCCGCTGGCCGAAAACCTGTCCCTTCCTCCCTTCCCGCGGTGTCAGTCCCGGCCACCCTCAAGGCAGGCAGGAGCTTGGGCATCCAATGCCTTGCCAAAGCCCAAACAGGCCAGAAAAGGTCAAATGCGAACACATGTGTCAGCATATGTGAGCAACATGTCAAGATCTAAAAGACCTGTCCAAGTTCACACTCTCCAGCGGGAAGGGACCAGATAGGTGCGACATGGTGCGACTCACACGTGCGCATGTCTGATCGAATGCACCCGATGCATTAGATAAGGTGCTTGTTCTCCTCTTCAGACATTCTGATTTCTTGCATACAAGTTTGAGACAAGGGAGTTAAATTGAAGAAAAGGACCCTATGAATTGAGAAGCTGTTCTTTTGTGAGATGTTGAAATGACTGTCGCAAAGAATGTGAACTGTTTCTCGGCTTAACATCAGATTGATTCATGAACGTCCCAAAGTGCTAAGAAAATCACCGAATACCAGCACCGACCCCACAAGAAAGGAGAACCAAGTACAACAAAGTAAGGAACACTTCTTGCTCCTAGTAGCGATGCCCGTGTTACTAGTAGCTTCTTGCAGCTTCTTGCTATTACTAGAAATGGCCTCCAACCTAATAGCGATGGCCTTCACCTAGTAGCTTCTTTGCTCCCAGTACAACAAAGTAAGGAACATGTCCAACGGCTGCCCGAAATCGTTTCGTAGCGAGACAGTCCACCTGCACCTGTGGAGCAGGACAAGTGGCCATTGATGTGGCGTGACCTAGGTCAGCAGACGTAGTGGCCATTGATTTCTACCCGTTGCATCGGCCATGTGTCTCCTACCTTCACTGAAACCAGTGCGAACTTGGTTGAAGTCCAGACATCCGGCCAACAAAAAATACACTTCATCTGTTTCCTATTATTTGATGTCCACCCTCTCGACAAAGCGATGAACCAGTGAAACAAGCTGCATTCCTCTCGCGATAGACCAGTGAGATTGGTCCCTCTTCGTGACAACAAGAGTGGCCCTCTTCATGTCAACTGTGCACGCGGAAGAGAAATGTACAGATTCAGATCACATCCTCTCCCTATCACAAGTTCCGTAACCTGTCAGACCTAAAGGTGACCTGCGAAATCGATGAATAGACTGCCTCCCTGTACAACAAACATCAACAAACGCATGTTTCTTTCTGGTGTTCTTGATTTTGTTTCTCTAGACCTGTCTTTATGTTTCTTTATTGCTCGTGTTTTTTCAAGATGTTCAATGAATCCAAAGGAAAACGCGCAGAACAAAGAAAAATAAACGAACAGCCACGAGGCTCATGACGCCCATGGCGCGAGGAAGCCGAAGCTAGGATGGTCGAGAGTCCAAGGCTGGAGCTTTCTCCAAGTCTGCCCCCTTGTTTTGGGCTAGGCCCGGTGCCGATAGAGGTACGCGTGATGGGGAACCGTTCATTTTGGACCCTGAATGACCGTTCATTATCTAGAGTCTAAAGGGATCTTATCAAATGAGGAGTGCTGGCGCTCGTTTCGCATCTCTTTGCTGCAGTCAGTGGTGTGGACTGTGGGCCTTGATGGCGTCCGACGTTGCTGTGGCCGCGATTGACTGCTACAATTGACTGCCGTGCGAACGACGAAGCTGTCCTTCCTGCAGAAGAATCAGTGATGGAAGTTGAGGTCACTATAGGTCACTCTGGCACATGATGGTCATAGGGGCTCGATTCTAGCAGACATGGGTGAGTGAGTTCAAGCTTTGGCAACCCAATCCCAAGTATGCCAACTGTTGCTGGTTCCCAAATATGTCAGTCACAGTAGAACGCCAGAATGCCAAACGAAAATGCATCAAGCACACAGTGAAGACTTGATGTTCAAATTGGGCTGTATAAGCTGTGTAAACCTCCTGCAACCTTTTGGACGTATCGTCCTGTGAACCGACGCAACGTCGCCGACCTGTGTCTTTCTTTGGTGCTCAGTGTCGCCAACTCAGACCATTTGGGAGCTGGTCTCAGGCACCGTGATGGCACTCATCCCCAAAGGCACCTGCCATGCATGCCGCGCGATGCGGCGCATGCCAAGGTCAATGCGACAAAAAGGTGTGGTGGGAAAGATGTTCCATTTCTCTTAAGATGTTCGATTGGAGTCCAATCAAACCCAACCAGGCCCTTCTTCGATTCGGCGCCTCTGCCCCCACGCCCGAGATCACCGAGCTTCGCATCGAGCTGGCCTGGTTCTTCGGCGGTGAGTGGAGCTCAAAGCCATGGACCGAATCCTAAGATCATCTACTCCTACTGATCATGGTCACAAAAATTGGGGTTCTGCGTCAACCAAGTCTTTCACGCGCTGGCTCGCCCTAATTGGCATGGGTTGTCCTGTTGTAGTTCTTGTGACAGCCGTATAGCTACAACTACCAGGTCATTGGACCAGATCATTCAGTGCGCTTTCGCTCCAAAAGCCCGCCTCATGCCGAAGCTCGTGGCGCAGCAGCCGTTCCGGCAAAGAGCCAAACCTGGTAGACGAACAAGGGTGGACAACGAGGAAACGAGAACAGTAGCACTTGGAATGTCCGATCTTCAGCTTCGGAGAATGGAAAACCCGGAGCTGAACCCGCAAATGATTGGAGGTCCCATGGCTGAAGGAAAATCGGATTGGTCAAAGGCAATGACAGGAGTTTGGTATCTGAGACTAGTTCTTTGCTCTTTGCGCACCTGGCAGGCCACAAGTGACACACAGGATGATCTACTCAAGGTCCCCAAAGATTCCTAAATGTTTGGTCTGCTTGTCACGGTTCTTTCACCTGCAACAGAACCGCTTGACCTGAGCATCTACCCTCTCACCCCACATTGACGTGTCTTTTAGGGGGTGGGACGTGTTGGAACCGCTCTCGTCAGTCACAGCACCCCGGCTGCGCCTGCTCTCCACCACCACCATGCGCCCTCGGAGCAAGGCTAAACAGGCGAGGCCTTGCCAAGCGAGTGCTTAAAAGGTGACACCAACAAATCTGTTTTAAAAAAAAAGGAACCCGCTGCAATGAAATACAGCGGATTCAACACATTTCAACAGATTCCTGATAACTTAGCCTGTTCAAAACGTTTGGAACCTGGACCAACAGTAACTGGTCCTGCGCGACGACCAGTCACTCACTGGTTCTTTTCAGACTTGTTCTCGCCCTTTCCATCCCGATTTCGTAACTCAAGAATAACAGTAACAGTAACATCAGTAACATAATAATATAACATTAATATAATATAATTATATAATATAACATCATTAAGAAATGTGGAAGAAGCGCATGCATTCTTGGAGCTAGATTTAACAGCGCGATCAGAATCCGCAAGACGGGACCAGCATTTGGCCAGCCTCTTGGTGTCTGAATTGAGGCAAACACGGAAAGAAAATAGTGTGCCAAAACTGCAGCCTACTAGCGACGGCCTCCAACCTCTGAATTCAAAACTCCACAGTCGGATACTCAGACTCTCAGGCTGCAAAGTGCAGAGATTATATATCCATGCGGTCCATGCGCTTGCTAGATGAGTCGGATGACACCAGGAAAGCGCGACGCACGCCACAAGCGTCGACCACGAAGGCGTGCTCTAGGTGAAGGCGCCTTATGTCTCTCCAACACACTCCCTGGGCCCAGAACGTGCACCGTGAACGCAAGTAGGGACGGTACACGCAAGGCTGGCCTTCCGGACACCGGTTTCGCTAGGCTCGTTCAGGCGGCACCATTCAGACGGCGTTCGGCGGGCGCGTTGTGAAGGCAAAGGCGGGGGGCCGTCTGACATGGCAGAACTGCCGCAAAGGAGACGGCGAAGAAGGCTGACATGGCCGTTGCGATGGACAGAGAGATGGGCCTCCTTGGTGGCCAAGGCACAAGCGTCACCTGGAAAAATGCGCACCAGGTGTGATGGGGAGGAGGAGATGGGGAGTGAGAACCTGTCAAACAAGTGTGCATTGTAAGCTTGAATGAGACCATCAACGAAACACACATGTAAGAGATAGAGGACAACAGTTGCCAAGAGACGCAACATTTGCTGGTGGACCCTCATAAGCAGCTAAACCCACACGTCAGTGTGCAATCTTGCATACCTACATTGCAGGTTTTGTTTTGTAGTATGTGTCTTTTGCTCCAATAGCAACTCATGTATGTAGTCATGGATTGAATGTTTCACAGTGTCATCATCGATAATTCATGGTTGGCTGCCTACGTTGGTTGATGGGTTTCTCACACTCAGCCGCGTCAGATCGCAGTGATCCTGCTGCTCCTCTGTGGCTCTAGGTGGCCATGCTGGCGCTCAATCACTGTCCGATCAATCCGAAAGCGACATGTGCCGGTGGCGTCGCCGTCCGCCGCCTGAGCCAAGCACCATGCCAGCTGTCCCTGCCTCCGCACCAGCCAGTCCTCTGGGCCGTGCGGCTCAAAAGGTAGCCAAAAGCGAATGCAAAAAAGTATTTGAAGGCAGGTTGTGTTGTGTGATATGTGTTTGTAACTTGACAAGATTTCGTAGTGATTGACCTCTTTGTTTTCTTCGAGGGAAGTCGAAACACAGAATGCCACATGAGTCCAATTGTGTCCAAAGTCTCCACCATCCCTGGCGAGACTTCCGTTCTTCCCACAGCGCTTCCCTTCTTCTCTTCCGTTTCGATCCCTGAAGACCAGTAAGTGTCCCAGTGCGGAGCGGATTGCTCCGTGCTTTCCATTGCTCATTCAAGCACCAGCCCCTGAGTTTTGGCCTACATGGTAGGGTGAGAGCTCCAAGACAAGCACGGCCAAGGTCACAAAGATCTCGGGAAGCAAAATGGGGCGAACAATAGATGCAATGTCAGCATTTTGATTGGCTCTTGGGTTGATTGATAGGTTGGCTGACCCTAGTCAAGGGATCACGCGATCTCAAAGCAAGGGCTTCTTAGTGTCATGGTCGCTACAACGATGCAATGCATTTTGCATGACTGACTCAAGGATACAGTTGTGGTATGTTGCTCCTACAAATATATGTATGTATATATATAATACACAGTACAGTACATGATGTTTCCACCTGTTTCCTGGACCATCCCTACCTGGTCATTTGTGAGTGAACATTCTTGACAAAAATAGAGTGCCATGTTCTCTGTCCGAACCCAGAAACCTCCTCCAAAGCTTGGTACAAGGTCAGTCCGGGCAGTCTGCAACGCTTGCTTTTTCAAAGGAAGGAAACAACGAGTGTCTTGCGAAAGAGAGGAATCCACTGCCGCCACTGCCTCTCCCCCTTGAGTCACCGGCGACAGACAGCAAGAGTTGCTCCGAAACACGGAGGATCCTCTCCTCGAGTGGGCCAACGAAACATCCAAAAGTAAGACATCGTGTCGTGTCCTTTAGAAAAAGAATGACAATTGAGGAAGAACATCACATCCAGAGCCAAACTTTGAGAAACTGTTCTCTGATGATCCATGATGATCCATGATTCTCTGATCTGTGTCCTCTCTATGACTCGTTCCTGTGCACATGTGACTCTGTCTGTGCGCGTAGTCTCGGCCGTCTCGGCCGTGGGGCTCGGTCCGCTCGGTGTGGGTCGGCGGATGGCAGCAAGTGACTGTGGCATTCGGTGGGGAAATACATATGCCACCGAAAGGTTCCTAGATGGTGCCACACTCGACATGAACTGCTGAAACAGCATACGTTCACAGGACCTGCTTCGGACATTCATGCACACGTGTGATTCCGCAACCTCAAAGAAACGCTGAAGTGAAAAGAAAGAGTCTTGCGCTGACCACAGCAGTCTTCTTGTTGCGTTTTCGGTGCCAAGCAAATGAAGCAAACTACGGTTTAAGAGCTCTCTTAGATGTGAATTCTATGGAAGTCGTCTGGGTATCTTCGGGAACGGAAAGATGTCTGAAACCCACAAAAGTTGAAATGCTTGAGAAATCGCTCTCGAAAGCACTGCAGGCTTCGGGATTCCGTACTTGTACGCACTCCACTCCACTGTCCCTAGCAACATCCTCAGTGCAGCAAATTCGCCCCAACTCGAGCACCAACTGTGAGCAATCTCCACATCCCATCGAAGCTCCTCTCGGCAAAGCACAGCGCGCAGCTTCTTCCAGCGGCAGAACAAGGCAACTTGCAAGGCTGCCACCTTGGTCCGAAGCGCAAGACTCGCTTAGTCCCCCAAATGGTTTGTTGCCCTTAGTTTTGTTTTCTTCAGATTTCTTGTCCAAGTCTTGACCAAAGAGCAGCAAATGCGTGCCAAAAACCGTCCTTCGTTGCAGTCAATGGTTCTTTAGACGCTTGGTGCTGCTGAGGCCATGGGAAAGTGGATGTTTAGTTCCAAAAAGGATGGCTAGAGAATCTCAAATGGTCGTGAGCTCTTCTGAATTTGAGAGACTTCAAGATCGCGAAGAAAAAGCCCTCGAGGGGAGAAGAAATGGTGGGTCGCAAAAAATGGAGAGATTGGTCTTGGAGTCCTGCAATTGAACTTGCATCTTGGGAAAACTGCCTGTGAGGAGATGCTACATGTATCCACATGTCACATATCTCCAAGCCGAAAGCTATCTCACTCCATCTCGTTGGATATATAATTAGGTGATGGGTTTGCCAGATCCCTCATGTGGCGTTCAATAGCCTCAACACCTGTTTCGGGGAAACCCTTGTCCTGTGACAGAAGCAGTGACCCACGCAGGATGTGAAATGTTTGGTGGCTTCCTGTGTACCAATTCGATTCTCATCTTCCGTCTTCCGGTGTGTTCCCCGCATTTAACGACCCATGAGGCCCCAACCACTGGTAGCCAGGGCAAGACGATGGCCTGGCAGCCAGGACCAAAGAAAACAACCTTCCTTTCCAACAGTTGATTCCTTTCTTTCGCAGCCGAAAAGAGCCACCTTCTTCCACCGGGTTCCGACCTGCCAGTCTCTCTAGGGCCGCGGACCCAGGCCGTGTGGAACAGCGATTCGGACCTCGGTGCCCAGTCGCTGGGCTATGCCCGGACCACGTGAGGTTTGATCCGATACCTGAACCGAAGACGAAGAGACATCGGGTCACTCGGGTCACGTGGCACATGGCATGTCTATTTTCGGTCCATTCGGCTAGTCCTATATAGCTGCAGAGACTTTGTGCCCTCTCAACACAATCAGCTGGAGCTCCACTGTTCTCTTGGGACCAAGATGGACCAGTCCCAAGGGCCAATCACACCTTCCCTTCAAAAGTGCTACGACATCTTGTTGTTGCTCTTGTTCCAAACACATCAAGGTTTAAATAACCCATAGCTGATCAAACGTTGATGCCACTGATGTCTCAGATGGCACTTCCCTTCTAAACAGCTGCAGATCAGGTCACACGTCAGTCTGCCCTTCAAAAACACATTCAATGTTTGGCCATCCACGTATCTGCCTGCCAAGTTCTGCGACAACACTGTTTCTTTGACCAAGCCACAGGGAAAGGCTCAGTGTGATGGACGTCAAAGCCTCAAAACGCCCCACAGATTAAAAGACAAGGGTTTGGAGAGAAATGTGGAGCTTTGTTCTCTTTTAGATACGATACTCGGCTTTTCAGAAGCTTCTTTCCTAGAATATCAGAATATCATGAAGCTTGTGCAGCAGAAACCTTTAGACTCGAAGACATGGAGCGTCTAGTGGGGAACTCTACAAGTTGAGGGTCGCAGAATTGACGCAGCACTGCGGCGTTCAACGCCCAAAAACTGCTCTTCATGAGGTGTTGAAGGCAACCCGAAAATAGAAATGCATCTTTAGAGCCTCTTTGCGGGGATCAGCCAATAGTTCGTCTGTCTAGCTCCTTGTGGTATGACTTCGAAGCAACTCAAACGACGACCGTCCCGTCCCCCACCGAAACATCTGACGCACCGCACTCTCCCCGAGCAGTCGAAGGAGAGTGCGGAATCGGCACGCCGCCCGCGCTCGGCACCCCGCACCCCGAAGCCAAGCAGGCTGAAGATCTCGCCGCTCTGGCGATGTGGGAAGCGCGTTCTTCGCGCTCACGAAGCGAACGTACACCGCGGACGGCCGGTGAGGTTCGACGGCACCGGAAACACGTGTCTTGTGTCTTGACGCTGCCGAGTTGGACCGACCGAAAAAAGCCTGGGAACGTGGATGGATGGGGCGAAAGAACTCCAGACAAAACAAAGACGTTGCCTTTGATACTCCATGGCTGGGATTTACTGTATCCAGGCATGTTTACAGCAAGCACGTTCTGGACTTCGGACGACACTTCCTATCTTTGGCACTGTTTCCCTTGCGAATTGAAGTTGGACTGCTTCTTGGTTGAATTCCAATCGGAATCCGACACCCGACATCCGACAGTTGAACGAGGAGCAAGGCGCTACAGGAAGCTCCCCAAGCTACGCGGCCCGAGTTGGATTGGGGTCGCTGTCGCTGTCGCTATGACTATGCCGCTATGACTATGCATACATGACGGACGGTGTAGCTGCTAATGTTGCTGATGAGAGTCTCGAACACACACGACCGCGGGCTTGGAATATAAACACCCATCCTTCCCGCATACATACTACTAGGAGCAAGGACGCTACTAGGGGCTCCTGGCATCGCTACTAGTAACAAGCTACTAGGGGCTCCTGGCCTTACTATATACTAGGAGCAAGGACGCGAGGTGGTAGGTCCCAGGTGAGGCGCTGTCGCGGACTTTTCGACTGGGCCGATCTTTCCCGAGAAAACGGTGAGCGGAGCAGCTTGGGGGTTGCATCATCGGGCGCAAGGCTGTGTTTTTCCTCTTCTGGTTGCAAAAGTTATAGATCATCTGGAAGAGCTGGAGGTTGTGATAAAGCAGCTGGAGCTAGTTCCTATATGTATCTGAAGACAGTGTGCATGTGCCTGTGTTGATCCAGCTTTGACACAACTTTCATGATCGGAACAATCATATCGGAGTGCTTGTGTGAGGTATTTGGGCTATTGTCTGAAGCAAAACAGGTCTTTGGGGGACCGTTTCATGCAGTGTATCTACATGCCAATGGGCAACCCCTTGGAACTTGAAGTCCCCAAGTATTGCATGTGCATGCGTGGACCAGAAAGAAACGAGCGATAAGCTTGGCGGCTTTGGGGGGAACGAAGGGTGTCTCTTCTGTCTCTCGGATCTGGACGCATCTCTCTACTATCTGCTTGCTACCCTCAGCAGCCCAAACTGAAGCTGCAAGAACTTGCCAGGTTGTGCAGCCAGGTTGTGTCAATCACCTACGCGTTTTTCCAGCCCGGCACAACATCAGACGCACCGAAATGTCTTGAACAAGGGTGGATCTGCAATCTGAGCAGAGTTCATATACCAGCTCGTTTCAAATGGTCGAAGTGGATATTGTGCTATCTCTAGGCATACATCAAGAGGACAGCATCTGGTGCTGTTGGAGGCCCATGGAGCCGGTGCAAAAAGCGCAGCCACATCTGCTGTGCCTTTTGGGCAACGTCCTTTGGATCATCTGCTGTGCCCCACATCTCAAACACATGCCACAGCCCGGTTCCAAGCACGTTCTGCTGTGTCCTCAAGCATGTTCCCGTTCAAAAAGAGAACCCAATTTGGGCCTGGGCCTTCAGGAAGCCAGTTAAGAATACCTACGGTATCTTGAGATTCAACGTGTTGGAAAGCTTAACTTGAGGTGGTCAAAACTGATTTCTTTTGATTCAAAACTGGTACGGTACAGAAACATCAAACACATGAAAAAGCCACACCATTCGCAGACTCCATTCAGATTCTTTCCGTTGCTTTCCCGTTGCTATTGGCCGTCAGAGCCTTGTTGAAACCGAGGGAATCCGAAAGGTGGCTTCATAAAGGCCATACACCAGAAATGAGGCACACAGGCAAACCTTTTCCTATGAGATCTTGTGGCGAAATGTCCTCGACCTCCATATGGTGCTGTTTGTGGGGGACAGTGTCCCCGAAGCTTCTCAAATGTCAGGGCCAGCATTTTCCTGTTTCAAATTCGCCACGACCATGCGCTGTTTCTTTTTGCCAGGCGAACGCAGCAGCATCGCCGAGCAGTAGAATTGCTCAAGGTCATTCAGGCTGTGCAGCAATCGTTCTGTTATTGCGGGATGCTCCGAACATGGTGATTCAGGAGACCCAGTTTGTGATGCGGAGCTTCCTCGAACCCTGAAATGAAGGAACCAAACCCTTTGGCCATCCACTAGATCTTCAACAGTCTGCAACTCCAGGTGAATTCCGTCCTGCATCTGTGATTGCACGCACCCATGCAGTCGCCTTGAGATTCCAAGTCTTCAAGAGCCGCTTGGATCGGCAGGCGGAAAGCGGACGGCCAGACCAACAGTGCCACCGCATTTCTATTGACTTGCCCGTTTCAAAGGTTCCTTCCACGTGACCTGGCGAAGGCTGAACCAACTGAAATCCAAGGTCTGGCTCAAAAATGATCTGCATGGTACAATAATGTTATGAACCAGGATAGCCTATACCGCAAACCAGACAAGCCCGTCCTACCAAGGGATGTACCGAACGACCACTGCAAGTCCTTCACTGGATGCATATGTATATATATATTATATATATATATTATATATATTATGCTATAGATTATATAGTATATATTATATATTATATATTATATATTGTATATTATATATTATATATTATATATTGTATATATTGTATATATATATATTGCAAAAGAACTTGTTCTTGACACACACCGTCTTGAAAGCCATGCTTGTGACTGCAGTGTTTTCCATTTGTGTGTGTGTGTGTGCGTGTGCGTGCAGACAAAACACCACCGAACGCCGAACGCTCATTGGCAAGCTCTAACGACCAGCGCGCCTCGAACCAGAGCGGACCGTTGCCGAAGGCGAAGGCCTCGGTGTGAGCTGTGGACTGAAGGCCTTGGAGACTGCTGCGAGCTGTTGTAGATGACGAAATAAATGAAAACCAGAGCCTCAAAAACCCCATCCAAAACGGTTTTCACCACCATGCAAAGAGTTTTCACATCTACTTTCCCTATCTTTCCCTCAGAGCTTAAGCATAGCTCCATCCAATTTGTTGACTGTTTGCTGTTCGGGACACCACTTGGGAAACTCCTGGCTACGGATCCAAGCAGAAATGGTGGCTTCCTCCAGCCCGGGCTTCCACACAAGCGCCGGCCTGGCCACCGGGGATCCTGGCCACGGCGGGTT